TATCGCCTATATTTAAACCCCGTTAGCCGGTATAAAATGTCCGGTTTAATTATTTCCGATGTGTATTAAACGGGTTAAAATAATTATAGTTACATCACTAACACTACAGGGTAATTTATATTTTTTCACGATCCAGCGATTTTCTCTGAGGATTTTGTGTAAATTCGATTTTTGTTGTTTTAGATTCTAGTTTTATGGTTTTGTTTATGCTGTTCATTAATCAAAAACTCAATAGGAAATTACTTGTAGCATATTATTTGATCTTATTGTTATATTATGAAGATATTTTTTTGATTTTCTTTGTAGTTTTCCTAACAAATGAGAAAAACTAGCAATTTGTATGGATTTCAACAATACAAAAAATACGATTACCTAATAATATTTTGCTCAGAAAAGTTTTTTGTAATCGATGCTTAAGTATATACTACCTTTCAAATTATTTTATTGTCTTATGAAATTGTTTAAGCTTTATTTGACATTATTTTCAAAATTTTTTACTGCGCGTTTCAGATTCTGAGTGTAATGAGGGATTGACTTGTTGGCTTTACCAATATGTGTGTAGTGTGTATGCATGTACATTTGTGTATACAAAAAAAAATAACAGGTACCATTTTTTTTGCGTTTTGAATCCCGTTAGTGCATTGGGGAGATAATTTTTCTGATTTTCTAAGCTGTTTTAATAATAAAAGGAAAACTAAGACACAAAAATGATCGGAAAAGCAGACAAATATTTACGGTGTACTGTAGAGATATCTATTTAATAATTTTAAATTTTTACAATTTTTACTTTAAGTTAAGTATAACTAAATAATTAAGTAAGAGTTAAATATAACTATAATTAAAGGAGAACTTAGTTGCAAAAAATTAAATTTAAAATTTTTTTTGCATGCCTATAAGAGTTTTGAATTAACATTTTAACGAAAATTGTAAAAATTATGGAATTAAAAAACATGTAAAACCGAACTTCGTTCCGAATCATTTTTCATTAGCAACGGTTTGCCATAACTTACAGATATAAATTAAATATTAATATGTATCCCATTTTTCCATTCGCCCACTTACAATAATGGAAAACTAATTGCAGTTAATGTCTCTCATTTCATATCATACTTAATAATAGTATAAACTTTGGTTTTCAAATGAAAAAGCTTCCACCTTCTATGTGCAATATAGATTCGAAAAAATAAATATTTTTCTGAGGAATTGCATGTAAATTGTACGGCTATATCGATTTAAAATTAGCGTTATTTCATCACTCTTTGCCTTTAATTGAGTATGTCGTATATGATTTAACGAAATCTAACGGTTTTCGCGGACCAGCGGATATGATATTATGTATTTGCTCACATCGTGTATAGGTAATAATATTAACCGATAACACTTACGGGGACCACGTCAAATAACGTTTACATAGGTATAATCTCCATATATATATATATATATATATAAATAATATTTATCCGAAACACGCTTCACATTTACTACGAGCAAGTGATACATTGATGACTTATGATACGTGTATCGGACCGTAGTTCAAATCCGTCCCCGAAGCGACGAATGGAAAGTCACTTCGCGTATACGAGACACGCATTAAAATATACAGTAGACGTGATTAAGGGATGTACAAATTGACAAAAAAAAAAAAGAAGCCAGGTGTTTTAGGTGAACATTTATCGCTTTTTTTCGAACATGGAGTGGCAGTTTAAATAATCCTATTATAATTCACTGATCCTGATCCCGATTCTCCTCGCTTTGCTTATAGGTCATTTTTACGTAGTGGATATTGTGGGTCGGGAGACGTTTGGACGGCAAAAGTGCAGAGTGCATAGTCAAAATCAATGAGTATAAAAGGAGTTTTATGTTACTCATACGCCACTGATTAAACGTGTGTTTATTATTTTAAACTAGTGTATTGTATTTTGTATCGTTATTCGTCAACCGCGTGTAATAACAGAAAACACGTGTTTTGTCCAAACTCTACTAATAATAATTACCAGCTTTAAAGAAGGTGGACCCGATTAATTAAGAAGAAACTTTATTTTCGACGTGTCTTTATAGATGGCAAATAGTATTACAGTAGTGACGCTAAAATGGCAGGACTCGTGAGCTAAAACTCATTTCGTCTCGCAGTTTCACCAAGAAGCTATTAAAATAATTATACGGACACCGACCCGATTGAATATAAGAACATATAGATATAATGCGGTTAGACATTGTTCAGTAGCGCGGTATATGATGGCGGTAGTGCCAAAAGTTTTCCACCGGGTAGTTCGCAAATAATGTGACCGCAAACAATTAAAGGGGACCTATCATTTTTACTAGAAGTCAACTTACATTGCACCCCTATAATAGCACATCCTAATAATGCATTTTTGTGTTTTATCAACTTAACTGTACACAATAACATGTCCATCGATTAATTAATCGATTTGACGATTAAATACTTTTCACCGTGGTAAAATTAAACGATTTCGAATGAATGTCTCTAAACGATAATACTCGAAGCTCGGAACAGTCGAAAACTATCATTGAAAAATACTTGAGTTTACTAAGATTACTAATTTGATACTGAAGGTAATATATAGTTAATACATCATTGTATAAAAAAAACTATATCCTACTTTATTAGCATACGATTCTTAGGTAGAGTAGTATTATTCATGTTTTTTTTTTTCTTTTGTATTTTGGAAATCAACAGTCATCAAACAACGCGATTAATTATTTTTAACAAAAAACAATACTGAACGGAGTTCAGTTATATATATATTTTGAAAGACCGTGATAATTACGATTTTCGTCGTGATGTGTTAAAGGAAACTTAAACTTGAAAATTCTTATAAAAAAAAAATCTCTATTACATTTTTTTTTTTTTTGACCAAAAAGTACACCTTAAAATGAACTTCCTGTTTTTAGGTTCCTGAACCTAACAGATCTGTCAATCTATCTATACCTACCGAATATAAATTATATAGAACACTCGTACATAAATTAAAGGTCTATAGTTCAAAAATATATGAAATGTTTTTAAAATTTGACTACGTCTAAAAATATAATTCTTCTTTCTAAATTTCAAGATTCTACAAATGTTTTAAGCTAAATCACTACAAAAAAAAAAAATTGAAAACTATACATTTCATGAATTTTTCTAAATTCCCTACGTTTTTCCTAATTATTATGAAAATCAAAAAAAAAACCTTATTATTAAAGTACCATCTGGATAGTTTCCTTTCGAAAGAAATACTACACTTAAAAATTAAATCAAAATATTTGGAAGAAGAGTTGTTTACAGATTAAAAAAAAAATGGAAATAAAAAGACATCCTAGAAAAATGCGATAGGGTGCAGCCACTGTTATAGGTAATTTAATGTATATCTGTTAGCAACGATAAACCATTGCTAATGAAAAACGATTCTGAGCGCAGTTCAGTTGATAGTTGATGTCTTGTCAACAATATTTATGTCATGTAAAAAAATTAAATAGTCATTATATATTTTCTCAAATAATATTTGTTTTATATTGTACCGATTTTCCCGGTTTTCCTAAGTTTTTTCTGGTTTTTTACATTTCCTGGGAAAACTCTTGGAAAAATCGAAAAATTATCTTCCTAAAGTACCTCTTTAATCAGATTTCCTTTTAGAAAAAGTGCTATTATAGTAAATCAAAGTAAAATTTCTGGTAGAAAAGTGTTTTACAGAAAAAAAAAAATCGTAATATTTTACTAATGTATTTGGTACATTTTTTTGGAGCAAGATATTTCGTAGAAAAGTTTGCATTATAAACCGATGGGTATTTTTCGAAAAAAATAGTTCGAGCGAATGATGGCTTAGGCCTCTAGGTACACCCAAAATCCCTTTGTTTTTTCCTTTTTTAGGTAAAAGAGAAAAAAAATTGTAAACAAATTTTTTTCAAAACATGGGTTCGAACTCACGTACCCAAGGATGAGCTTAGAATATGCTAGAATATGCTTCGAGAAGGATAATATAGAGTTATTTAATATAATATATAATATCTGCACATCAGAACTTTAAAAAGCTATAATTTCGAAAATTAACCAATTCACGTAATTCTGACTCCACCATCATTTATAATTCAGCAATATATATATGGTCAAAAAAAAAAAAATTAAATTAAATTTAAAAAAAACACTACATTGAACTCAAATTTTCTTTTTTTGACCGCAAAATGAGATTTTCAATGAACCCCCTATTAAATTTCCAAGCATTTCTATAAAGTCTAACAATTTTACCACAGAGTACCAACTAAAAAAAAAATATCTATAAGTAGCTCAAAATGGCTTGATTTTTTTAAAAAATTGACCATATCTAGAAAAGGCAAATATAAATGTTCTGTCTATATTTTAAGTCCGTGAATTCGAATATACGAATATTTTTAACTAAATTTAACAAAAATATTAAAATATTTATAAAAAGCTTAAAAATGATAAAAACATTTCAAAAATTTTACTATGTCAATAAAAGGCAAATATAAGTTTTCTATCCAACTTGCATCAAGTCAATACGAATATTTTTAACTGAATTACATTAAATAACAAAACTGAAAAAAAAGAAAACGTTATTTTCGTGAATTTCCCGTTTTTCTTACGTTTTATTCAGATATTATGAAAACCGATTGGAAAATCATAAAATGATTCGCTACACTCAGAATCTAAAAAAAAAATAAATATTTTAAAACCAGTACATCTTTGTCACTCCGTAATAGCTTTTTACCGTTTTACTCGTAATCAAAACATAATATGTCCAGTAAATATCTACGTCGTAGTAATCTTTATTAAAATTTGTCAATTTTTTGAATTATTAATAATTGTTATTTGTTTTTTAAATTGTTCAAAACCATGAATAATAACATATATTATTGCAATGTTTCGGATCGGCTATGAATAATTATTATTATTATATATATATTAATATGTGGTGTCACATGTTTAATCGGCAGTTGCAGGTAGACATTATCGTTAACAAACACCGGTCTATCGCGTTACGATGGTAATAATAATAATAATAGTAATAATTAATAACATTGTATATATATTGTGCGTCAATATTCGCGTTTTGAGGTTAATCCGTAGTCACGATCGATTTATGTTTCCGAATTAATTAACATATTTTAAGCAGCCAGAACACTAATGAGAGCACTGCCGCGGCGCGTTTAACATGACATTAAAATAATATTATGAAGGTACCAATAAAAACAAAAAAAAAAAAAACAAAAACACGATTCTGCGCGATTAAAAATACTGTTTTCGCATTATTTTCCCACGCAATTCGATTTGATTAGTTAAATTTGAAAGTAAAAAGTCATATCGATACGTAGTCAACAATGTAAATTTTAAGAAAAAAAAAAATGGCATCCCAAAGTCGGCCGGCTTTCTCGGTATTCGTTTAGCGTGAACACACTGCATAAACTCGTAATATGATAATGTGTATTGTTATCATCACGGTTTTGTAATATCGTTTTTTTATTGTCGGTGTATGGCAGAACCGTCCGCAATGTCGCATAGTGATACCGGCCGCGGAAAAAAAGTGCGCGGGCGTGGCGTCGGCGATCGTCATCAAGTCCGGCCTGAACGGTCTGATAGAAGCCGTGTGCCGTCTGCACGACAGGTGGCGCGTCGGACCGATGGCTTTGAACCGGGAGTTCAACGATGAGCTGCGCGAGCTCGTCCACCTGCTCAAATGCCTCGACAAAGACCTGAACAACAGCACGGCCGGCACGTGCGATCAGCTGGCCCTGTTGGCCGAACAGCACAACCAGGCCTGGGACCGGTACTACACGCTGTTGGCCAGGCTGAACGGGCACCGGAAGGACGACGGCAGTGGCCGCCACGTTCCGTCGTCGACCAGGAACCGGCCGTCTCGCGATCGCGCCAGGTCGCACGGGTGCAAATTATGTAATCGGAGAGACAAAAATAATGAAAACTTAAAAACCTACCGCGCTGTCCACTCGTATTACATTATCACGCGTACAATGGTCCGAGCGGTTGGGGGTGTAAAAAATATATACATATATTTTTTTTTTTTTTGAGGAAGGGGAACCATTGGGAACCTAAAAAAAAAAACGTTTAAATAATAAACAGTAAACAGTAATTCACCGGGAGGAAAGTCCGCAACTTGTGAATAAGGTACCGGTGTAAGACTATTTCGAGAGATTTTTAATAGCCGAAATGCAAACGAATAATTTTCGAATTTGATTTCTCGAATACTTTTCCAGTTTATAAAGAAAATAACAATGATAACAAAAAAAATGACGCCCTTAATGCAGCCACTAGATAAAGAGTGCAACAAGAAAGTTCCTATAAAGTTTTTGATTGGAGCAAGATTTCTAGTAGAAAACTTGTTTATAGATAAAACGATGAAACCAATTGTATAGCAATACGATCCGTTTCGTTTAAAATCTAAAAATTATAGAAAATCATATTCACGTATTAAAAAAGTAATTATTAATAAGAGTAGGCAATAAATTAAAAACGAATATTGAGGCGATTAAAGAAAAAAAAAAAAATTTCAATCGTGACTAATGGTTTATTAAACACCGCCGTCTGATGAATTATATAAAAAAAATAATGCAGGCAGTACCAGTGGCGTGCAGTGAAATCTCTGCAGATTAATCAATATTAATTTATTTAAAAAAAAAAAAAAAAAAAAACCAAAGAATATTCTGAAGAATACTGAGCGGCATTAAATGCCAATTAGAGCAGCGAATGTAACGAAATTCTAATTACCGGTTCGCAGTAATACAATTTTAAAGTTTTAATCGAGCCAAGAGACAAGAGAGTACAATAGTAATATTCATCGAGTTTATATTATTCCTGCAAGTTTCGTCGTCGTATTGTCTAGTCCGTAAATAAAATATTAATCACAGCGTATTTTAAAATCCGTAATGGTTATTTTTAAAAAAAAAAAAAATATATTCCGGAAGTTGTTACTCCGTTATAAAAGGAAAAAAAAATCGACATCGCAAATCTTTATGAAACACATCGAATACCGCATAACGTTTGTTTGTACCATTATTTCGGAATCCGTGATTTTTGTATTTTGATTACAATTACAATAATTTCCGGTTTAAGTATGTTAAAACATAACCGATCGAACTCCGTTCACTATCGTTTTTTTTTAGCAATGATTTATCGTCGCGTACAGATATAAATTAAATTACACGATTCCCTTTATTTCCTACACACCTAACATCCCATCTATAACAGTGGCCCACAGTACGAATAATGACCCCTTTTTTATTTTTAATAATTTAAACTAATGGCGTCTACAGTTTCACGAAAAAAAAAAACAGATAGATTTCGAATAAATCGAACTTGTATACACATTTTAACAATATTTCAAACTTAGGATGCGACACAACATCACTTAAGATGTATATGAACTGGAAAAAAAATCGCCGAAGGGTATCGTACAGTTTTTACTTTGTTTATTTTCAAATTTTCGAGAAGTCAAAGTTATTGATTTGACTATGAGGTAAGGTTCTCATTTTGCCTATGATTCTATACTAGTGTGCGTCAGTATTTTTTTTAAAACATTTTTATACAAAACAGTGCCGTTTTTAAATTGTTTTCAAGTACACACAAAACATTACGGTTCTAAGGTAATTTTTCCAGTTCCTTACCCGAAAAACCAATGAAGGAGAAACGCTTATTAAAATCGAGGCAGTGATTCGTCGTCGACTCTTGAAACTTTTTTTTTTGAAATATCGACCGATACCTATCCCTCTTCTGTTCGAATCACCTGTGGTCGTCTGTTCGCAGTTTTTTTTCATACATAAATTATAACATTTTTGAATCGATTCCGCACGAATACCGAGTAAACCGTACCGGTATACAGCTATATTTGAAAACAACCATTATTATTCTATATAGGTACAATAAAAATATTTTTAAAAACCTCGGTTCGCATAATTACATACTCGTATTGAGATTTATTACGACGTGGTTTATTTTATAGTGGTTTTTTTTTTCTCTAAAAATACAAAATTGTAACACGGTCAAGTATTTTTATGTATGTATACTCCACAGTTAAAAAAAAAAAAAAAAATGAAACATTCTGACACATTAGCACGACATTCCGGATAAAATGAAAAAATAAAAATAAATATGGTTTCATCGTATTTATTCGGTAGTGTAGATAAAATTGTTCACCGTGTACGGACATAGCACTCGTATAACTATTGTTTTTCGTTACAAACAAAGTATTGGCAAAATATAATGGTATAAATATAATATTAATTATGGCATAAAACGATAAAAAAAAAAAAATAATAATAACAAAAGATTTAAATTTTAACACCTAGCCAAACAATAATCTAAACTAATATATTCAATATGTTGTGTGAATTTTGTCGGCATAAATCGATATTTTGACGGTAGAAACGAACAGAAGAATCTTTCAGATGACTGTCTACAATTCCGAAAAATCCATTTTTATCGAGATTACAGTAGTTAAAAAAATATATACTTTTACCGTTATTAAAAAAAAAAAAAAAAAAACACTAATTTTAGTTTAAACATCCCATTAGATTTAGTACATTTAAATTTCGTTTTGTCATTAAAAAAAAAAAAAAAACTGAAGTTTTTTCCATAAAAACGTTAATGCGATAAATTACGATAATACTAAAAAAAAAAAAAAAAATCTTTACATCGTTATAATTACAGTATAAAGATTAAGTGCTGAATGATACGACAGAAAAAAATCGTTGCGTTTAAATTGTTTTCATTGCAATCGATGGGTTGGACTAAATCAAGCTAACCATCGTAACTGATAAACATATAAATGCAACTGATATCAATTAAACTATATTATACTATATATCTATATACATCTATATATATATATACATATATTAGTCGTACGACTATGACTAAGATTATACGGGACACTAAATCGTGATTAGAAAAAGGTATAGACATTGCGGGCGTATTTTTTTTTTTGTGGCCAATCCACTATGCTCACCATGTCGTTCGTTGTCAGTCCTGTATATCTAATCCGCGAATGAAACGGCAAACAGCACGACCGATAAAAAATGTTATCATATTTACACTTTCAGAACCATAGTGTTACGGGCATTTTGTCTTTTATTCTATGGACACATTTCGCAAACGATCGACGTTCATAAACGAGTTTCACCGTACCTGTACTTCACTGGTTCCTAAACTGTGAAGCGCACCTCTCAAAGGAGGCGCGAGCATTTCACAGAAATAGTGCGAAACAAATGTTGTACACATTTATCTTTTGATCATTAGACGTTAAACTTAGAGAAAGTTAAAACCTAAGTCCTATATACTGTGTAGTAACGATTTTACGTCAAAGCCGTCAAAGCACAAACGCAAAAACAAAATAGGCGATTAATAAAACTAGAGAAAAAATATAAAACGACGAAAATGATTAACAATATTAGTCAATTAGTTTTTATTACATGTTTTTGACTCCCCCTTTTACACTATTGTAGTATTGATTAGGTATATGTATATAATCAGTATGAAACATTTGCGGTAGTCAGTGGAGCATTTTAGTGTTCGTCCTGGAGGCGAGGTTGATTTAATTCATACAATATACATTATCATAAATGTGTATCTAGGTTTTACCAGAGGTACAGAGATCTGTATTCCCTAACATCACGAATACATCAAAATATATATGTAAACAAATTTTAGCATAATTTAATAAGCAAAAAAAAAAAAATTATGTATGCAATTACAAATTTAAGTTATGTCATTCAAAAATCAAAATAAGTATATGGGTAGGCTATTGTTTTAATGGTGGACAATTAAAAATATAGAATCATTTTTTTTTTCATCGCAAAATAAGTTGTGTTTTGCCCACCGATTTGAATTCTCTTTTTGCCTCCTTTAACATTCCTTTTAATACTCAACACGTTTTCTCCACTCTATATCCCCAATTATTGCCCCTCCCCACTTTTAATTGTTGAGATTAATAGGTAAAAAAAAAAAAAAAAAACACTAAATCGTTATTTATTCAAGTAACCAATATATGATTATTAAATAGTTCCTATCCCATTTAATAATATGGATACGAGATACTTAAAATTATACTGTTATAGTTATAACAGAAAATGTTGTATTATACGACATTTAAGGTTAGGAAAAATAGTAATTTCGTTATTTTTCCGTTTTATTCTCTCGGGTAATATAATATAATGTAATAACTATATTGTAATTCGCTCGTTTTGTTTTCGCTTTTTTTATAACAACAGAATACCGGTCGTAACACGAACTTCGCAGTGTAACCCGTATAAATTTACTATCGTACGAAACGCTAGGGTTTCGCCGAGACTCGCAATAATTCTAGGGTCATTAAATCAGCTGTAGGTTTTGTCACTATACGTAGGTACCTACACTACCTACGCAGCCGTCGTTACGGTTTTTGGTCGAAACACTTTGAAATATTGCGCATTTACAATACTACAGTGTGTTTTATGTATTATAATTGTAATAACAGTGTATACATATATTTTTTTTTAAACTGACGGAATAATATTATTTTCGTATGAAATATTAAATACGAACATTTAGACAAGAGTTTTTTTTTAAAACTTTGTGAAATTAAATCCAAACTACGGTTTTATTTTGTTGTTTTTTACATTATAATATACGAGTATATTAGATATTATATAATAGATAGTAAAACAACGATGTAAAATGTTTTTTAATGTACAATAGAATTATGTAACCCCAAGCTGACGTCAGACGAAATTAGTAATTACGAATACATAATTTATATGTACACATTTTCTAAGTCTATGTTTTGTATTATTATCTATAATATATCTAAACACATACGATTCTCACGATAAGAAGTGCAATATAAACTCAAACTAACAATATCATATTATAAAACAAAATGTGGTCTAATGCGAACTAAAATGTACAGGGATAATGATAATTTCTATTAAATTCGGTAAAAAAATCGTTTAATTGAGAAACCCTACCCACACTGGCGGAATTTGTGGAATCCTCTTTCCCGTTCGGTAATATTATTATGAAATAAAATATTATCGAAAAATATTATATTATTATTTTATTGAATATTACTTACTAGAAACTAATAATATGTATTAATAATATTGCCGATAGCAAAATATTATTGGCGAATTGTGTGTTATATGAGTAATACTGATATGATATTGAACTTGGTCGTTTGATTAAAAATTGTAAATAATTAATAATCTATAGCGAAAAAATATAAAATACTATTGTAATAATAATTTACCTAAACAGTTTTGCCTTATTACGGCCCGTGTTTTCCATTGGTTACCCATAATATAATAATGTATACGCTAAAACGAATGTAATTGAATTATCGATGTTATTACGGTGTGTACCGTACTCAATGAAATTGCAGCCGTTTGTGTATAGATAAACACGCAGTGACAATTATTTGAAATAATATTGTAATAATAATAACGGTTCCGAAAAACATAAAATATTATAATACTTACGGTGAAACAATCAAAACTAACAAATAAATTATATTTACAGGGTGATCTGTTTATCATGAATCAACGAATTTTTTTTTTTTCAATCGTTATGGATTTCTTTAAGTTTAATTATAACACTACTCGTTATTATAACGACGAGTATAATGTAAAATTTCGATTATTAAACAGGTACCCACCATCATTAAAACATAGAGAATATTAATAGCTTTATCGAATTTATCATTTAAAACTTAATATAATGATAGAATTATATCAGTTAAAAGTTTATTCGGCAGGGGGATGAGTGAGGTAATAAACTTCATATAATTAACTTTTTGATAGTGAATTTAAATCGTTTCTATGGTTAAAACCGTGGGAAATGGTTCTTTTTTGAAAATCAAAAATGTATTTATTTAAGATAATACTATTTTACTCATTTAAGATAATATAAGGAGTAGAAAGAAAAACAAAATTGAAAATCGTGTTAAAATAAAGACTTTAACTATTTTATAAGGATAAATAAAAAGCTGCAGAATAGGAATTCACTTAAAATCCTAAAGAAAATCGCTAGTTTATGCTAATGGATCACTCTGTATATTGTTTTTGTAATAATTTTGTTCGTTCAATATGGGTTTCGATAAAAATTAATATACGGATTTTAAAAAAAACAATACATACATATATGCGAGTATATAATATTACGTTTTCAAAAGTGGTTTGATACTTCATATCGTCGAGAAAACAACTTTTTTAGATAATAAATATATATATATATATATATATATATATATATACATTAAAACGAAGTTAATATTTGATGGATGCGTTTGGAAAAGAGAAAATCGATAGGAAGAAGTTTTTTACTAGTTATTTTTAATATTACTTAGATTAAAAAAAAAAAATAAAAATAAAGATAGCGTTTCTTGCGTTCTCGTGTGTTTGTCTTACTATCTTTCTCTCTCTCCAATGTGTTTTTGCTTGACTTGGCAGAGCTTTACAGGGCGAGCATTACGTCTTGGCTGAATTACGTTTATTATTATTCGGACGGTTTGATTCGCAACCTAGTGTAATATATATAAATCTTTAAATGTAAAAGTAATTTATAATTATAGTTCAGAAAACTGCAATTTTAAAACTACATTGACGATGGTGAATTTATATAGTAATTATTTATTGGTTTTGTTATTGCAAGATTTTATACGATACAATAAATAGAAACGTCTCACCCCTGCAGACGGAATCTTACAATCAATTAATAAATGTATTATTAACGAATTTCGAACACCCGTTCCGTTCAGTAGTTGTCGAAATCTGCGACCAAAGTGCAGATGGCGAGGGGATCATATACGGTGTAGGAAAACCGAAGAAAATTCCCCTGGTAAATATTGGAAAAAATACAAAGTATTTTCTGTATAGAAGTACAGAAACATCTCTTATATTTCAAAATATTAGTATGTGACCATTTTGCCGTAGCATAGGTATATATACGATGAAATGTTATGCGTAGGTTCGGTTGAAACTCGTGCCAGGGAAAAAGTTTATATGAAAAAAATAATTGTATTTTTCTCATATTATTTTGTCTTCAAACGTAAATGCTCTTCTAATATACCTATAGAAACCTATGTTACGTACGAAGTATGTCTGTAGTATGCATAGACGCAAATAAGGTTAGAGCTACTCAATTGTGAAGCAATTGTGAAAATCATAAACACTTATACAATTTGGGGGGAAGGGAGGCATTTACCATCCTCTTGTCATCAGCGGGACGATGTCGGGCTAGTTTTAGGCTGCAAGTCTGCAAACACAATTCATGTCATTATGTTTTATGATTTAACAGGACATAAATTCGGGTAAAATTCCTCTTAAACTAAGTCTTCATATATTAACTAATGGATAATATAGTTAGGTGGTCTCCTAAATATATATTTATTATTTAATCATTGTTGTCCCTTAACATTTATGATTATGATGATAAATATGAAATTTTGTAAAAAGGGTATTTGTAATAAGATGAAAAAAGAAAAACATAATTGTGACGAATAAGTTAGCGAGCGGATCGGGCGGATTGTTTTCAGTTTTATTAAGGGCCGGTCAAAAATTTTGCACCCCACTCTCAAAAACTAAAATGACGCCATTGACTGCAGTTAAATTTGGATTCCACGGATATTCTATTTTTTTTTTTAACGACGATATATATTAAATTTCAATAAATGCACGGCCAATCTAAATTCAGCGAGACTGCGATGAAAATCAATTATTGAGGCATGCAACTTATTTATAGTACCTGTATATTATTATGAGCTACAAATTATAATGTAAATACATTAATATTATTATTTATAAATAATATAATGATAAATAAAATTTGTTTAACCGAAAACGAATGCGTAATAAGATATTTTACTAGCATATTGTTAGATTGCGGTAAAACCATGACTATTTTTCTTTCAAGTGTCATCTTTCACGTTTCACCGATGATAAATTGATTAGTTTTAATTTATTTTTCATTATAAATAAATATTTTGCCCTACATCAAAATTGATAAATTCAATGAATAGAAACCAAAATGTAGGAGGGTTTTGGAGAGGCTGTTGACATTTTTAGGGGGCTTAACACTTTAAGCTCCCCACTATTTGCTCCTATGGCAACATGTTACGGGTATGAAATAGGGTAATAGATCATCTTCGCCATGGTCGCTTTTCTGAATTACCAAATGACGGGTGTTACATTAGTATTATTGTGTTATCGCGCATAATTGATAAAAAATGTTTGACTTGTTATCATTTTGTACATTAAGGATACGTGTCATAATAATAATACATAATATACGTAATATATAATAATTTATAACTGCAGATAATAAGTGCTAGAGCAGAATAATTAGACATCTATTTTGTCGTAATAATATTAATTTATTTCTACGGACCTGGTTCAATTGCATAATAAACTTTAGTTTTACAATACTGTTACAAATTAATACTATTAACAAAGAAAGTTTACATTAATAATATAAATAAGAGGGACACAAAACGCATTACGTGATTTTACGGCTGATTGATTTTATTTTTGCTATCGAAAATCTAAGGAACCTATCTGTGTGTTCCTCATTACGCTCGATGACCAATCAGATTAAAAATTCGATGCATTTCGATGTTCCTCGAAAATTGTATACATCTGATTGCCATCCGATTGCCTCTAGATGCATTCGATGAACAACATACAGACATGGCTGGGGCGCAAAGCGATGCGATTGATAAGGGACGTTATCAACAATTAATCCAGTGTTACATTGGATTGAAAATTAGATAACAAAAATTATTAAATGAGGGACAGACGTTATCTACGAAACTCAATGAATGAATTAAGTGGTCAAATAATAAATATACATGTCGTTATTTTTACGTATATTTTATCAAATTTATAAGACCATGTCAATAAGTAATCACAGCCCGTCGTCGAGAAATACATATTAATCCCAAAGAAGTTCTTGATGCTTTGACTCAAAAATCAAGAATAGCTGATATTATGTCGTGATGTGTTAATTATAATAAAAATAGTTTAAATAATATGAATCATAGTAATATGTATTGAAATTTAATGTATATAGAACATTTATTCTATTATTATTGTGGAGTTCGAGGACATAGCCTTCACTGTTTACTTTGTATATATTTTCCTTCGATGGAAATTTCTGAGAACACTACTGGTCTGTGACGACCAGACATCGCAATATTATAATATGTAACATAAAAATGAGCATTGAACTTATTCTTTTTTGTCCTTCGATTTTTAAATTTAAATTTTCAATTTCCTCGTACAATAATAAAATATTTACACTACAAGTTTAGTTAGTAGGTTTAGGCACTGAATAAAACTCATTAGATAGGTACGTGTTTTCGGTTATGGATGCTCACCGGATAGGAAAATATAGTTAAGACTGTTCTTGCCTGCACTATTAGAGCAAAATTTCCTATTAGCTTCCGATTAGGATGTGTACTCCAGTTTATAAATTTAAAATAAACTATACGTAATATAGATTTAAAAAGGTTTGAATTAATAAAACGTTTTATTCGATAGTACTTATTGTTTTATATGCGTCACAGTATTCTGTGAATTTTAATCCGATAAAATCCTTTTGAACGGATATTAATAATGAAAAAGAAAATATATATTATAAAATCACAAGGTTATATCGACTGGACTAATCACAGCGACGACGAGACGACTGCATATTTAATATTACCGGTGTAGATTACCTATATTATTTAAACGGATAGCGAGTTACAAGATACTATCATTTACCGATGAAATAGATATTTCTCTTAATTCACCACGATCGAGAACGTCCGTGGTTTGTTAACGTTAGGTAGGTAAATTTGAACTCAAAAAAAATGATCACATTATACAATGGACAACAAAGTAGATAATATGAAATGTCGGACAAAGAAAATAGTAAAGAATCGACATATCAAGTTTTTCTTTCAGACTGTGTTGGCTCTCACGCATAAACGACGAATTATTGTTAATTAATTTAATAAATAATTTACCAAAATGTTTCAATTAGATAAGCAAAACATCTGTATCGATCGTTATTTTGTAAAATTAACATAGGTATTTTCACCACTTTAAATCAGTCTAAAAGCATTAGGTTCTTGAAATGGATATCTGCACAGATTTGTTATAAATTTGTAATTGATTGAACTTTTGTTTGCGTGGTTACGGTTCAGATTTTAATTGGTTACTTATAATTTCATTTTTTTTAAACTTTGACAATTCGAACTGTTCGTCTTACGTCCTTTGACACACACGCACAAACACATTTATAGTGGTCGAAAAGAAAGATTTTTAGATTAGGTATTTCATTCCCCGCGGAACGGTTTCTTCGCGATCAACTTCAATGCATCGGACAATTTAACAATATCTATATAATAGTTGGATACCCATACCCTAGTGTACAATTTTAAATTTCGAAACAAAAAAAAGAAAATGTCGAATTGGCAAACTGTCTATACAAAATAAAAAGTAACAAGTGTACCTACATAAAACTTTAAAGGAGTATAATATCTACGACTAAAACGGTAAATAAATAAAACGTATAGTACGTACGTAATTAAATTCGTTTTAAGAAAATGATGTATCGTACTGAATTCTGTAGTAAAAATAACCAAATTAAAAAAAAAAAAAATGAAATACATTTATAATATTGTATTTGTTTGAATTTAAAAAAATTCAAAATTGTATCAGTAACCTTTGTAAATATTGACTTAAATCCTCGGCGGGTGTATAAAGTATTTGATCCCATTGACATTTAAAATTCAAGTTCAATAATAATTGTACATCATGAATACTTGATTATTATTATTATTTTTTTATTTTTTTTTTCTAGCTATTTCGTTACATTTATTACATAAATATAATATTATAGACTTTATAGTTGTATACGTAATGTGTGATTACCTAATATATCATATCTGGCCATTATCATATGCACGGTAAAAAAAAATTTAAAAACACTACCATCTTAATACGAAAAAAAAAATAATGATGCAACAGAAAACGAGTTGTACTAGTAACTTCAATGTTATATATTTATACGATAAAGGTTTAGTGTCTCGTTTCACTCCGTTCTCGTTGCAAATTATTCGTCTCGAACAGGAACAATTTTTTACTAAAATGCCGCGTTTAAGTTTGGATACAAACATACCGGCTTCCGAAATTCCGCAGGAATTTTTGAGTAAATGTACACAGATTATTTCTGCGACACTAGGAAAAAATATCAAAGTGAGTATAATATATATACTATATATAATATACTGTCACACAAATAATGTTTAGTTACATTATTTCAAGTAGTGCGAATATTATACGTATATACTATGCATATAGTATTGATCTAATTAGTGCTTTTTTTTTATTTTCCTGAGAAAAACCAGCAATTTTGTATACATTTTATACATAATTTTTGTTGGGTTCTGGATTATCTCGATAACAAGAGAAAAATATGACTTATACTATGTTCAGAATCGTTTTACGAACGTACTTAAATTAAATTGCCCTATGCGTATTCTCTTTTCAACTTCCATTCTAAAACAGTGATAAGCCCATCAGCAGTATTGTTTTTTTTTGTCTTTAATTTTAGTTTATTTAATATGATTTTTTTTAATAGTACACATTTCGAATTATAATTGAAAAATAATGAACTTGCAACTTGAATTTTGATTTTAATGACAGCTTCAATATTTTTACGTAAGTTTTTCTTCTCCGGGATAATTTTACCCTTTTTTAATGCATTTTATTTTATCTTTAAGACTCTTTTATTTCAAGTATATCTAATTGAAAATATTTTTTCCATCACGGTTTTTTTTTTTTTTTTTTTTTAATGCATTCAATTCAAAGCACATTAGTCATTAAGATGAAGTTTATTATAACATTCAAGTACCGTTATTTCCAATAGATAACGCCATGTTATTCGGATGAAACTGTTAAACTATTGTGTATATATTAAACGTTATATACCTAATGTAATAATTATAATAATGTAATTATTGACAAATAATAATTAGTATTTCAAATGGGTATGACGGTTTTCAGTTTTGTATAGCAACAGTGAATCCGGGATTAAAAATGACACTCGGTGGCTCCAGTGATCCTTGTGGATTTGTTCAAGTGACCAGCATTGGAAGTTTGGGAGTCGAAGAAAATAAAAAGCACATTGCAGTCATAACCGACTACGTTAGTGAAGCTACCGGAATTCCGAAAAACAAGTAAGATTAAACGAGGAGTCCATGCATAACAAGCATGTTTAGTTTATATTCTCTGGTTTAATATCATCACGAACAAATTTGTTCTCGATTTATCTATCGAAATGTTTCGTATTAATTTGGATTCTCAAAGATGACGAGGATATATTATTCATATTTCATTTCTTACAGTTAAATATAATTGCAATTTATAATTTTAATATAATTTAAGGCAAAGTATATTTATATAACTACCTATATTTTATACCAAAATAACGACGATAACTAAATATCACTCTTTAATGAATTATACAGTATATAATTAAACTAAAGTAATTGTATAGCGGTTAAACGAATTTTCAAATAAATAAAAGGTATGTTTCAATGTTAAACTTTCAAAATATTTCGATACAAATCGCATTATTTTCATCCTCCGAATAAGGGACTCTTGAAATTTTAACAATTCGTATAAGTAAACATTCGAAATGAACAATCACCGACCGGCTGTTTTTAATTTATTTGCAAAACTGATCCGTTGCATAAAATATAAATCGGAAGTTAATAATATTCATTGTTATTTTTGTTTTATGTTTATTTACTCGTAGGTTATACGCACAATTTCAATCCAACGAACCAGAGAGTACCGGTCACTTGGGTACAACATTCCATCATCTCTACTACGTCGAAAAGGGAGCTCGATTAAAATAAAAATAATATTCCGTATGCCTACTATTTGTTCGAAAACAATAATGTTATTACTTTAACAATATTAAAACCATTCGCAAACTCGTATGTTTTGATTATATTTGATTTTTTTCAATTAAAGAGCAGTAGCCTACGATAGGTACCAATATTATTATTGGTCATATTATAGTGATGTACTCCGACTCTGAACAACGGTAAGTATACAGATCCCGAGTTTCGTGATTGGATAGAATAGTATATTATATAGATAATGCATTGTATTTTCGGATTTTATAAAGTTTTTTTTTTATGAATGAGAGGGGAGTTGTGTAAATTCACCGGACAGCGGGTAAACGGGCCATGTATGAATATTTGTGGCACATACAAAAAAAAAAAATCTATTTATATTATTATTATTTTTTTTTTTTGCGACTACCAATAACGAAATTATGAGACACGCCGTAATATTATTAAAATGTTGACAGACTAAGGTGTGATTATAAGAAGAAAAAAAAATGATATATTACATTATAGATTGCGCCTCATCTCTTTATATTAGTTTGTTGAATAAAAAAATTACAGTCGGTAAGTGTATTATATGATATAGTATTATATATACTATATAATCACTATAATGGTTATTTTAATTGAGATAAATTACATTAATTTGTGTATACACAATCGTATTTTCTTAAAATATGTACACAAACAATATTATGATAAATCATTATAGATGTTAAAATACTTAAGTGAAAAACAAAACATTTGTATATGATTCACCGAAGTTAACGTTTTTTTGTTTTTTTTTTTTAAAAGAAAACCCTAGTATAAAAATATAAAACCAATGTTCTCATGACAGTATACATCATATATTTATATGAGTTACAATAAAATAATCAGAAGAGTAATATTTATTATATCTATTAATAATAATATCGTTTATTAAACGTGATATTATGTAAAACCAGGATTTTTTTTTTTTTAACCGTAATTTAAAAAGTTTATTTGTCACGTCCGTGTGACATTGTGTGACATTTTGATAAAAGTTTGAGACGAAAAAAATAATCAATATTCAATAAGATATGGAAATTTGAAAATAGTTGCACCGTGATAATGTAATTTTTCAACTCGTATACGCTTTAGAAATAATAATTTCATTTGAAAATTTATGTGTGCAGGTTTTCTTTTTCGAAGACAGTTGTCAATTCAGTACTATGTTTATACAATACAATAAACATTATCTAACACGGTTTCTATAGTTTTGGCGCGTAAAATATTATCGAGAGTGTATGTCCGAGTAGTTTTTCGCCTTTTCGGTAATATTGCATTAAAAATAAAGTGCACACTTTGTTTGATGGTTTCCCTATCCGAACGGATGGGGCGACCTGTTTTGTCGACGTATACTTTAATACAAATTACTTTTGAGAGGAAAAAATCTCACGAAAAAAATGGTAACACCAGCCGGTGACGTCATGTGGCTATTTTCAATTTTCTGCGTCTCGATGAATATTATGAATAACAATACTCGTACTAATTTTTGTAAAATTTAACATAAGTATCTTCATATACTTCATTGAATCCTAATAAACAAAAAAATAATGTACGTGTTGTGTAGGTACTCTTTGAATTTAATAATATTTTAAAAGCACGCCGAATCTATCAACAAATTGTGCGAAACATATTAAACAGTATCATTAAAATATTACCTTTATACACCTACATTTATATGTGAAATGCAGTAATGATCTCAATTGTTTCAATATATAAAAAACAAAAAAAATCTTAAAAAAATAAATTTTAAATATTTTGTATTTTAGATTCTGAGTGGAACGCGGAATATATAGTTTTTACAATGATGTTTTTTTTTTTTCATGTGATCACTTTTTCTATCAAAAAGGCAAACTCCGAATTATCAAGTATAAGCTCCTTTTCTGAAAGGAAATTTTATCTGGGTGGTACTTTAGAGATATCATTTTTTTAAATTCTCATTAATATATTTTGAGATAATGAGGAAATTTTGGTTCTTTAGGTTAAAAAGGTTGAAAGATTAAAAATAAGGTTGTCATTGGCTACCATTTTTTTTTTTTTTTTTTTGTTATTATTAAGTTATTATTATTTTAATCTTTTTTAAACAATCATTATTATCATTAAAACGTACATTATACTTTAATATGGCCTTTATATATTATATGACATTATTTAACTGGATTCGGCTCAGAATCGTTTTGTCGTTAGTAATGGTTTATCGTTGCTTACAGATATACATTAAATTCCCTTCTGTATCCTAACTTTTAAACTTCCCACCTACAACAGTGGCTGCACCCACGCGCAATGTTGCCCGTACTTTTTAATGTATAATTTGCACATTATAATTAAACAGACTTTTCATGGAAAAATGGTCTACACTCATAGCAAAGGATTATATATTTATGCAATATTTTAAGTTACTTTAATCATATTGTAATTTATTTATCCTATAGATATAGGATATTTCAATGCACAATAATTTTGGAATTTAATAACCCTAGGTATTAATATAATTTTAAACCGCTAAACAACTACAATAATATTCATACTGGAAAATCACATACAAATAGGTACTAAATTAAAAGCATCAATAGGTTATAGCTATACATTTTAAACTAAATCAGTGGATCCGTCTTGAACACTGAATTTTAAAAACAAACTGAACAGCTAACACATCGTTATATAAAAACTAAACGGAGTTACAATTCCCTAGCAACGGATTTCCGTTGTATTTTGACTGCCGTAACACAAATCCAGCTCATAAGCAAAAACGGTGAGTAAATATTATAACACGCAATTGTGAGTTAACGATTCGCCAGAGGCGGAGAACTTGTAGTATTTAAAACTGTACCTCGTTTATCGATTTTAAATACGAAGGGAGAAAAATGATTTTGTCAAAAAAAAAAAAACTGTACCTTCGAGAAATAATATAATTTAATCATTATTAATATACTTAAATGACGCAGCAACACGAGGGCAGTGAGATTGGATACAATGGAGAAGTAAAGTTTAAATATATCTCAGTTGAACGTATAAGTAAAGCATGGCAGAATAATAATATACCTATGTATTATATTGTGTACGTCAAAAAACTTTAATATATTCTCTATAATATACCGTCTTTAAAAATAAAAAAGTATTTATTTAGTTTCTCGTCGGTGTGAAGAGAAGAAACTATATTGGTAGGTGTATATGTATTTTATCCGTAAACATTTTTTTTTTTTTATTTTGTAGCTGCAGGAGTATTGCACTAAAAAACTTTAATATACTTCCATAGACTCTACAAAGACTCCATAAATTTAAAACTCAACGTATATAGACCACCGTAGTTTATGTAGTTAATATGTGATTTTTTTGAATTTTATTTTCCAAGAAAGTTTTCAGAAAAAAAATAGTATCGTATTTTTAAATTTAACTATCTAATTTTGTCGTGGTTCTAATTGAAAAATAATCAAATAATTTTACAGTATTTATTTATTATTTCGCGTGCCCAATGAACGGAGAAAAAAATGACAAGGAACTAGAATCACTGAGTCAAAAACTAAACATCGGAAGGGCAAATAGGAGAAAGAAATTGCAACGATAAGCAAAACACGTTTGAAGACTTTGCACAGCGCCGTAAATGAACCCAATGCAGAAAAAATCCCGAAAATGATCGTGAAAGGGATGGTAATACTTAGTCCAGAAATATATGGAAAAACAATCATTAGAATCAGATTGAGAAACACTCGGGTCTAATTTTTAGGTGGTTTTATTAATTTGTTGAAGAAGTAGAACTTCGACATAATATTATGAATATAAAATCATTTTTTAAATTGTTCGACTATTTCTAGATTTTTTACATATTTTTATAAAAAATTTTTTTTTATTATATATAAAATTGAATTTCAATGGTTCTCATTTATATATATACATATGTCGCATCCATATCAAGTTATTGTCCAATTCGTGAAATAGACAATGTTTGCATCGATTTCACGAAATAGAACTTAGGTTTTTCCACTTCGTGTTATTACATAGCATGAATAACATTTCGCGAAATGGATACCTAAACTTTACACTAAGGAACTTGTTCCATCATTTGGATGTCCATAACGCTAAATAATAAATTATTATTATTATTTATTTAAACCTTATGTATACCAAGGGTTTTTGATCGTTATGACAATATTCTTATTGGTTGATCATAAATAACGATCACAAAATTAATTTTTAGTTTTATCTACTGTATAAACATTATTATCGGCCAACAACTGTCGCTATTTCGTTCCAAAGGTGGATAGAGGCCCTACAGATCCAACGGACGTTATTGCAGTAGTGATAAAACATAAAAATGATCTCAACCGTTTAGGATCTGAACATGGTATTATAAAGGGTTGGCACGGTTCAGAAAATATTCAATCAGCCACATCAGAGTTCACTAATATCGACCAAGTAAAGACAAAAGAAATGACAATCAGAGAAATTGTATCATCTTTAACAGGAGGTCATGGATTTTTTTTAGCTGTTACTTTAAAAGGAAATGTACAACAAAAAAAAATGTGCTTGTTTTAAAGGTAATTTATTTTAAATGTAATTCTCATTGTCATACTATTCAAACATATTCAAATAAATAATTATAATAAACATTTGTAATCTTAAAAAAAAAAAATAGTTTTCTTTTTGTCAATTGTGAAACACGCAATTCTTTAATTTAAACAATTATTAATTTATAATTGCATTATTATTATTATTTAAAGTGTATTATTTCGCGTTACGGACATCAAAATGACGGAACAAGTTCCGTTGTGTAACGTTTAGGTATCCATTTCGCGAAATGTTATCCATATTGTGTAATTACGCGAAGTGGAGGAACCACGGTTCCATTTCGTGAAATTAATGCAAACGTTGTCATGGACAATAACGCAATATGGATACGACATATATATATATGTATATTGTTTTGTTTATTTTTACCAAAGGTTGTTTGGTTTGATTTTATTAATGTTCGATTTATCGTATTTATTACAAAATAGAAATATTACATTTCCAGATTATTGCCTCGCGGTATACCTACACCTAATAAAAACTACATCGCCGGCATTTTTCAAACATCCGTTCGATGTATATTTTTCTTTTTTTTAGAAATTGTGTACTATATAGTCCATTAAATACAGCATTATGTTTCCATTGCATTATTATTTTAAATTAGCCGTATAATTGTAGGTATGTAGTGCATAAAGTGATGTAAAATGTAAATAATGTCTGTTTCGTTATTTAGGTAGGTACGTACCCTTTTACCTACGTTTTCTTTTTAAAGCTTATTCCGTGTAATTTATTTTTTTCCTCGAAAAACGACTGTAATTCTATGTACGGTTAAAAATTTTTTCTTCGTTATATCGTCCGTTTGTTATATTTTCGTTGGTCCGTACGACGTACCAATGTAATAATTATTTTGCAAACAAAATGACATTTATTTTCTCCGAATGTAATAATAATGCACGATAATAAAATAACTCGAATCAATATAACGCAGCTGGAGTTATACGCGAACGTTTTTTTATTTGCATTTCGTGTTTGCATTAGGGAGATAGAACCGAAAGATTTACTGTAATATTACTGCGTGATGTGTACTGTGATAAACAAATACAGAAAAACCGTATAAGAGTCGTTATGATTTTCATTTTTACACGTTTACTGCAGGTGATACCATCACTGCAGACTTTTTATTTTAAAACTGAAATTCTACAAATTGGAATTTGTTGCGGTGTCGAAATTTCATGGTTTTCAATTTGAAGTTTAATCGATATGCTGTAGAACCATGGTCAGGTAGGGAAAGGGCGTGGTGCCATCATAGAAATTATATAAAGATACCAAACATATGATATTTTGTTGAGAATAACAATAATTTAAATATTTATAAAAAAAAAAAAACGTTTGTACGTAAAACATTTTGGGCTTGCTTTTAATATGTATGTATCTTAATAAATATGCCACAAAAAAATAAATAAACATCACTTGTGTTAATATTTGACGTTCAAGACGTGCATTATTATATTAAAAACATACTGTCAAAATTCATGAAAATGCATTTAAAAGTATGATTTTATGCAAAATGTAAGTATACCTACCGGTTCATACATTAAAATTCCATAAGCATATTATATTAAATTTGTCAGTTAATTATTATTAATGAATATTGAGTAATAATAAATGGTTTGTCTGTGAGTAGATAATTAATTTGATATATGTAAATCGGTATTTCCTTTACCTAGCTTGTAAAAAATGAAAATCATCTGTTATATTTTGTAATTTCCGTGGAAAAATAAGTCATATACGTACCTTGCTGCAGTTAGGTAAATTTATGATTGCGAAAAAAGAAACCATAAAAATACATCATTAATAATACGATGGTATCATCATAATATAATTGTTCAAAAGACGGTTTATTTAAAATTACAATGTAAAAATAACAAAAAAATGTGTTCATCTATAGAAAAATATACGAAAAAAAAAATATATATATTTTATTATTTCAACAACATTAATAATAAATAATATTATCACAATAATACCTGCAGGTATTATATATGTATAGATATGGTACAAAGTGAATTATAAAAGTACATTTGGATTTGCCGGTGTATAAATAGTGATTAACGTTTATATATTATTTATGAGACTCGATACTGGAAAATGTAAAGTTCGAGTGCATATTATTATATTGATGAGTACCTATCCACTCGGGCAAGATAGTGTCTAATTTACGATCAAAACTTTATAGGTACGATTAAGTAGTAAATTGCATCGATTTTTTATATTACCATTATTATTAGCTAATTACCTGTATTTACTTTATAAAGTACTAACAGATTTTAGTATTTTTTTTTTTTTTTTGTTATTATACATACTTACAATATAATAAAACACGAAAAAGATATTTATAATTTCAGATATGATACTCGTGTGAAAATAGTGTTTTTACCTGTCATTCTACTGTATATTTATTTATGGTTTTTTTTTTTTTATGCATTTATTGTTGTTTGTTATCATTATTTTTTTTTTACAAGGAACATGTTTACTTATTATTAATAACTATTTCCGTCGAAAGTATGCTTGTTTAAACATTTTAATGGTCATATATTAAATCGTTAATAATTAATCGTCGTTTTTTTTTAAATTTTTTTATGAATAGGTAAGAGCGAATATTATGCGAGGTTATTTTTTACCAACAAATTCTAACTAAATAATACAATAAATAATTTGATTATCGCGAAGTTTTATATTTTTTAGCTCGAACTATATTTTAATAAATAATATGTTTCAATAATTTCATTTTATCGATTCATTAAACAAAAACTACATAGGTACAGCTAGGTAGGTGATTGGGTATTATTATTATTATACCTTATGGAAGTCGTTTTTACACGTTCGCATTAAAATTCAGGGCTAATCAATAATCAGAGACTAATATTCTTTTTCGCGCATAGCAAAAAAAATCAATCATTTTTTATTAGATACCATGATAATATTTTTTTAAATAATTGTCGAAAGAAATATTACTGGTACTGTAGTGTCAGTAATAATAAAATTATATTTGTCCCAAATAGTGTGTTGCATCTAGGTAGGTAAATGTATTAGACTCAGAGCGTAGCGAAGGAGTTATTGGTTTTACTAAGATGATTATTTTTTTTTCTTCATCTTTCTTTTAGTGGGTGGACACGTTTTTTTCTGGTAAACTTGCTCTGATTTTTACGTGTAGCAACTTTTCTGAAAGCGCAAGTTGTGTAGATTATACTTTAGACAAGTCATTTTTTGATTTCCGACGCCATTTTTCAAATAAAAGCACTTAGGTAGGAATTATGTATTACCGAACTACGCTCGGAATCGTCTTTCGTCAAGCAATGATTAATTGCTGCTAACAGATATAAATGAAATAATCTTATTCATCCTATCTTCCCAACTTCTCACCTACAACGATGGATATTCCCATTCCCAGTATCATCTATTTTTTTTATATTTTATGTTATCTATTTAAATGTTAAATAAGTTATCTGAGCCGTTATCTTAGATAAACAATTTAATTGTCTAATTATACATGTTTCTGCGGAACTTTTTAAACCATAATTTATAATATTCATCAAAAATAATAGGTCAAATATTTAATTTATATTAATACATTAATTATTAAGATAAATAAATCACACAACCTTTACGACAAATCTAGACGTTTACCAAATCTAGTACACTTTCATTAATTTTTGCGCTTTGTTTTATAACAGGCAATAAACAAAATTATTTATTTTTTATCTAGATAAATATTCCTAATTATTTATCAGTATCTGAATAATTAAACTGTCATGTATCATTTATCTTCCTCTAGATTATCACCTTGGCAATTGTCTCTTATCTTAATTAATATACTTTAAAAGATAAATTTTGTGTAAGCAGCATTGGTAATAAATAATGCAATAATCACACGTTATCGTCACGCGTCATATTTGTATTATTTATTCTCTGTCATCTGCCCAATGTTATCAATTGGTTATTGTTTTTTTTTTTAAAAAAAAGAATCGAATAGATTGATAAAAAAAATACATTTTTATAATAATTTAAAAACGATATGGGTAAAAAATATTATACCTCGCGTATTATCCTCTTCCATTTTCGTATAATTGCCTGTAAATTATATTTCCACCGTGTCGAATATTTCATAATAATGTGTATCACCACTCGAGAAAAAAATCGAAAACCAGGCTACTGCATGCGAGCACATCATACAGTGTTTATTCATACATGCTACAATTACCACGGATTTTCATATATTATGGTGACCTCGTATACATTCGGTATTAGTTTTGGGTTGTCCTGTAGCGACTTTAAATAATCTCATATTCTCATTACACTCTCAATATAAAAATATTATTTATGTATAATGTACACTACGGAATCATCCAAATTATAATATATTATTTCGAACGAAATCCATTAAAATAAATCGATTTTTTATTCCGATTAATAAGTACCTACGGTTTTTTAATCAAATCAAAAACGTATTATACCAATTCATAACGAATAATAAATAACTAACTGGACACACATCGCTAATCAAATGCATAGGTTTTTTTTCTCCATTATTCTCATTCTGACTATTACGTCGAGAATATTATGGGAACGGTTTTTGAATTCACAAAATCATCTGCAAAGAGCCATAGATAAACTTTTTAGAATTCTCATCTTACAATTTATGAACGATAATATTATATATTAAAGCAATTTAGTCAAACTTGCAGTCTTAAACTGAACACAAAATATACAGACTTCTATGGTCCACAATAAAACGTTTATATAAATCAAACACATTGTAGATTATAGTGTCTATCTACTCAGCCAAACCTTTTAAGTTAACATTTTAATTTTTAATATTTTTTTAATACAATTTGTTAAAATTAATTAAATCATGAGGTTTTGCTGAATATCCAGCGATATATAAAATAGACCACAAGCAGCGCTTAACTATTAAATATCAACACGAGGTTATGTAGTTAAAATAGTTGAATTACTGCCATACAGCC